CTTCATATAGATATCTCTTAAAAAGCAAAGGTGAAAGTCAAGCTTCAGGTGAGTCCTGCTACCAACTTGAATGACCCACTCAGGAAGGAATAGTGATCCTACTTCCAGTCCACACAAGTGGCCCCAAAAGATGCTCTCGTCAATAGTATTGACCAGAGTAAATGATGCAGCTTGTTCCATCCTGAGGCATGAATGCTGGCTAAAAGGACCCAGGCGATCTGCTATATCTAGGAAATTCTGCAACAGGACTTGAGCATCCCAATAAACCAGACTCCATTGTTGAACCCCATATGGAGATTGCAGCTCATTTTTTACCATCGCAGAGCCTCCTGTGGTCTATTCAGCCCAGCAACTTTGACACCATTCAGCATCCATAGCTTTGTCTGGAAACCCTTTTCTGAAATTCTGTTTTAAACCTTTAGCCTGGAAAATAATAGTTCCAGAAATACACAGATCTCATAACAAGGTTGTTCAGTGCAAACTCAGCTTGTACTTAGCTGACTGTCCTATTGAGTTCAGTGGGCTTTGCTGTTTTATTTCAAGTGTTGATAATAGTGTGGGGTATAATAAAATCAACTGGCAGTCAGGTGGAAAAAGGAACATTTTTGAAATGGGTTATCAATAGCTTTCCTTGTTCAAATTTATGGGTTTTTTTCTTTTATCTATTAGAATATCGCTGTATTTTCCATTAAACTACCTGTTGTTTTGGTTTTGTATTGAAAAGTAAATGTTATATTTTATGTTTTGTTTTGCTAATTGTTAGTATATTATTACATTTATTTGCTACACTCTGCTGTTATTGTTTTTTTGCTGGTTATTTACCAACTAAATATTATTAAATAATATAAGCTCGTAATATGGAAACTACCTTCTGTGAGTTAGCATATGGCGAAAACTCAGTTTAATAGACTGGTTCATACCATATGTGAATTTATAAACTGTTCAGAGTTATGTAAGTTTGAGGGTGACTATTAGAATTTAAATAAATAATTGACTCTCTTGGTTTTGTGCCAGGAGGGAACAATCTTAGTAATTTTTTAAAAAATAATTACCAATACCAATAGGAACTCCTGAAACAACTCACAAATGTGTTTTCCAATGTAATAAATAATTTAAAATTAATTTTATGGCTTCCCAACAAGGAATTGCAAAAATGTTGAACTAGTATGTGGCCTAAAATAAAGTGATTCCAGAAGCAGTGCCCCGTTTTTTCAACATTCCTTCCCTTTGTTCCCAGCTGATAATTACATTCAAATTCCTTTTGGTTACTACCTTAGAAAGAAAAAAAAGTCTTATTGTATATCAGGCCTCTAATGTGGCAGTTACATTTGAGAACTTTTCACTAGTTCTATTGTGTTGGTAATACACTTGCTTTTAAAAATGATGACTGTGGTGAATTTTTGCAATTTAATGCTGACCTGATTTCTGACCCACCAAGTCAGAAAATTCACCAAGTAATTCCAACAGAGACTGATTAAGGTTGTCCTTGCTTTAAAGACCATTCACTCAGCAAGTTCAAAGCGAGTGATGCTGAATGAATGGTACTTATACTAAATCCCCAATGTTATGACTGTGATCAGCACTTACATCACCTACTTGCTATTCCCCACCCCCTCCAAACTGTGCCCTTTTGACCACCCTGCCCAGTGGCATTCCTTGGAAGTAGCAGCAGTGCTGGTGCTGCTGAAGTACGGCTTTCAGTACTGTCAGCCAGCCATGGACAACCCCAGGCTTCTGAAACTTCATGAGAAGGCTGCACAATTTAGAGAAAGGTGGACCTTCTCAAGAAACTTTGAAGGCCTCAGATCCAACACATCATAATAGTGGCACATGCAACCTTTGGAAAAAGGCATGGTGCAGATAGCAGCTGCCTGACTTAGGGCCAGGATGGGCACACCTCTCAGCAGTGGGAAGAAGGTGGCAGCTGGGTGCAGCACAGCCAGCAGAGCTCAGGTTGGTGAGGCTTTGTGCTGTGATGTTGGAGTGGTTGGCCATGGGCTTGAGCTGGTACTCCTTGATGCCGATAGTGGCGTTTGGGGGTGTGAGGTTGGGGGCTTTTACTTCAATTCTGCTGCTGCTGGGTGCCCAACACTGCTAAGAGTATAGAGTGGCCACAAGGAGGTTGAGGTGGGTGGTAGGAATTCAAAAAGAGGCAGTCCCCTTCGTTACCAAAATTTGGGGCGGCAGGAGACCAAGCTGGTAAGGCTGGAATTCAGGCTAGTNCAGTTCGGCGGTTTGAGTCCCTAGCGCCACGTAACGGAGTGAGCTCCTGTGACTTGTCCCAGCTTCTGCCAATCTAGCAGTTCAAAAGCATGTAAAAAATGCAAGTAGAAAAATAGGGACCACCTTTGGTGGGAAGGGAACAGCGTTCCATGCGCCTTTGGCGTTGAGCCATGCCGGCCACATGACCACGGAGATGTCTTCGGACAGCGCTGGCTCTTTGGCTTTGAAATGGAGATGAGTAACGCCCCCTAGAGTCGGGAATGACTAGCATGTATATGTGAGGGGAAACTTTAAATCCATTTTGTCCCTTTTTGGTATGTTTTGTATGTATGTATGTATGTGTATGTATGTATGTATGATGTATGTATGCATGTATGTATGTATGTTATGACCAATATTGAGCCTAAAATTTCCATTGCTAAGCGAGACATTTGTTAAGTGAGTTTTGTGCCATTTTACAACTTTTCTTGCCACCGTTGTTAAGTGAATCACTGCCATTGTTAAATCACTAACCCGGGTCGCTAGGTGAATCTGGTTTCCCCATTGACTTTCCCCATGAGAATGTTGCAAAAGGGGATCACGGGACCCCCTCCAGAGAGTGTAACCACCGTAAATATGAGCTGGTTGCCAATCACCAAATTTTCATCATGTGACCACAGGGATGCTGCAACAGTCGTAAGTGTGAAAAAGGGTCACTTTTTTCAGTGCTATTGTAAGTTTGAAAAGTCACTAAATGAACTGTTGTAAGTTGTGATTCTACCTGTGTTCTTTTATTTTATTTCATTTCATTTCCTTTTAGTTATTTTTATTTAATCATTTTTATTTCATTTTATTTCATTTCACTTTATTTTATTTTATTGTTTTAGTTATTTTATTTTATTATTTTTATTTCATTTTATTTCACTTCATTTTTATTTCAATTCAATTCTATTTTATTATTTTATTATTTATTATTATTTATTTTATTATTTTATTATTATTTATTTTATTATTTATTATTATTATTTATTTTATTATTTATTATTTATTATTATTATTTATTATTATTTATTATTATTATTATTTATTATTTATTATTATTTATTTATTATTNCCAAGGTTGAGAAACACTGTTCTAGATGATACCTGTTATGTTATTTACATTCATACATTCTACTAGTTGTACAATAGGTGGAACCCTTCCAGCTTGGCCTCTTTGAAGCTTCACATATAAGACATGTTAGCCCCAGGACCAAGGTCTAGCAAGGGAAATAAAACCGCAGCATTCCAGGGAAATCATTTCCCACTAATTTAAGCCCTTCCATTTATACCCCCTGCTTAATTTTCTCAGCTGATATCATCTCTGCCTTTAACTGCAGTTAAAAGCATATTGCTACTGGCCCTGGAGGCTCTATTTAATTAACATAAGCAATAGCCTTCAGGACCGCTATCTTCTGCGATTCCTTTAAAGGGATCAATTAAGCTTTGCCCTAGTTTTATTTAATTTTATGTAAAACGATGGATGGCTGAAAATCATGGGGTGTAGGTGAGGTATGTAGCTCCTTTTGACCATTTTTATTTAGCCCTCTCCCCTCTCCTAGAAAAAAGAAATATTTTAGGAAATATTAAAAGGGCAGAATATTTCCCCCAAAAGGGAGGCAGCAACTCAGCTCCTTTGTCAATGGGCCATTAAGGTCTGAGCCAGTGTTGTTCTACATAACAAAGATTTGCCTCCTTCAGGCAGAGCCATAATAGGAATCCCAAAGCCCTTTCATTACACCATCACCCAGCAAGAGTCAACCAAGCATGGGACTCAAAGCACAGCCTACAGAGTTGCTCTGAATGGCCTCATGGGAGTCAGAAAACCGGAATAGAAGCTCAAATTCAAAAGCCCAGAGTGGGCATAAAACCAGGGCAATCTCAGCATCCCCTCCCTTTACCCCCCACGCCCAAGTCATGGGGTCCTGTCCACCATTAAAACCATCTTTCCAAGCAGCCTCCATGTTTCCAGTGTCTCTTCTTCCCCACTTGGAACTGAACCCAGATGGGCATTTCTTCAAAGACTAAAGCATGGGCTTCGTAACTTCTTCGGGAATGTGAAAGACATAGATAAGAGAGAGGGGAAATATTCAGAAGGAGGGGGATGTCATATACCAAAACCACAGCGGCGGCCGGTCCAACGAAGGCGTAGAGCAGGCCTCCCTCCAGAGATAGCCAACAGCTAGGCAAGGAAGAAGAAGAGGAGAATTTAGCCCAAGCAAAGAAAAAGGAAGGAAATCGTGAGTTTTTTTCTCCCGAGATGCAAGACTGGCTAGAGCAGTGTTTTTCAACCTTGTCAACTTGAAGATGTCCGGACTTCAACTCCCAGAATTCCCCAGCCAGCATTCGCTGGCTGGGGAATTCTGGGAGTTGAANGGTTCTCCCGAATAGGTGCGAACCGGCTGAATCCCACCACTGGTGTGGGTGCTTTATCTTTGAGGTGAACAAACAAATCCTTCCATTCCCCACCATCTAGTCGGAGCTGAAGAAGCTTCTTGAATGAGAAGCAAGAAGTCTTCAAAGAACAAAATAGAAAGTCCAGTTGCCTCTTGAAAAAAAGCACCTTGACCTGGATGATGGAGAATCTCCTTAGAGGTTTCTGTTGCATTTATGCCTTCTAATAAATCACACCGGTGGTATCCCTCCATGCTCCTTCCATGCCACAAGTCAAAAGAATGAGGTCAGAGGCCTGGTTACAGCTTTTCTTTTCCCCCAAACAAACCGTTTCTCTCTTGCCGTAAACATGCCTGGTTATCGAAAATGACTTTGCAATATATCTACATCAAATATATAATCTTTTTGCTTGTTTTCTTAGAGGAAGGATTGATAGAAGAGGCCTACCCTGCCCGCTCCTTCAGTTTCTTATCAGTTATTCCATCTTTGGATACAAGTTTGTTAAACACCAGAATGCCAATAACCATGTTTACCTGTTGGAAGAGAAACAACAGAAAAGTTGACTTGGAAACCTGGTCAGGTGTGATGCAAAAAAAATCCTCTCAGATCTTCCCCAGCTGCTTAGTCTAGGAACTTCTGGAGAAGAAGACACCTGAGTCCCAGCTGGATTTCTAGCAAGCTCCATGGACCTTGGAACATTTTTGAATCTCGGCATCATTTTGTACCATGAATGTTTGGTCTCCGAGACAACAAACATTAAAACCCAACCAATATTTTTCCCCCCAGGAGAATTCCAAAGGATACTAATTGTCAGATAAACCCTGTATGCTTGTATTTGTCTGTGTGTGTTTGTAGGAGTTGTGTATCTCTTTTGAGTAAAGGGAGACTTTTTTTTTCATCTGGCTAATTTCACTCATGTCCTAGAATAGGGATGCCCAGGCTTGGCAACTTTAAGACTTGTGGACTTCAACTCCCAGAATCCCCTAGCCGGCCAATATGTAGATTATAACCAAGTGTAGAAAGGGGGTGTGGTGGCTCAGTGGCTAAGACGCTGAGCTTGTTGGTCAGAAAGGTCGGCAGTTTGGCAGTTCGAATCCCTAGCGCTGCGAAATGGAGTGAGCTCCCGTTACTTGTCCCAGCTTTTGCCAACCTAGCAGTTTGAAAGCACAAGTAGAAAAATAGGAACCACCTTTGGTGGGAAGGGAACAGTGTTCTGTGCACTTTCAGCATTTAGTCATGCCTGCCACATGACCACAGAGACGTCTCCGAAAAGTGCTGGCTCTTTGGCTTTGAAATGGAGATGTGCACCTCCCCCTTTGCTGGCTGAGGAACTCTGGGAGTTGAAGTCCANCCCCTAGGAAAAGGTTATGCCCCACCCTGTATGGTCACTAAGAATCAATGACTCAGTAGCAGGCAATCAATCAACAAATCAATCAATCAATTTGTGACTTTTTTAAATGACAAGGGTAGCATGCCAACTTGCCTCCTTCATGCTTTCTGCTTGAAAAATGGTCAACCTCTACCATATTGTTATGACTAGATAAGGATGGGAGTTTTTTATGTAAGGTATTCCCTCAAATAGTGTCACTCATTATCATTTAAGAGTCCTGTCCCTTTGCTTCCCATCTCTTCCATTAAAAAGGAACAAAGACTTTGGACTCATTTGGTTTGCTATGGGATAAATGGTCTACCAGTTTCTTCTGACAATATATTGCTGAGTAAAAATCATTAACTCATTAAAACACCACCTCTGATTGTCCCTGCCCCCATCTATTCTCTGCCTCTCAAGTCCCAGCTAATGGGGGATTTTGCAGTAACCTTCCCATGGAGTGGGGAGGAAATGGAGATTTTATAGTATCCTTCCCTTGCCATACCCACCAAGCCACACCCACCAAGCCACATCCACACAGCGGGTAGTAAAAAAAATTGAATCTCACCACTGGCTTACATGCCAAAAGAATAACTCTCAACTGCTTGGATTTTTAAAGCTACTCTTTAGTTTAAGTACTTGGTTGTAGCTTATTTACAATATCATAATGAAATGAAAATCTCCCCTGCCTTTCAGCTGCAGTATTTCCTATTAAAGGGCGGACATTGTGGTTTGCCAAGCATTTGAAGTGAAGGTTGTTAAGCAAAGGATACAGATTAGTAGCAGATAGTCAGCGAATTGCCATCACGGAGGATCTCTGGGAGAAGGGAGGGGTGTGTGTGTGAGAGAGAAGACCTTCAAAATACATTCTTAACATTTTTAAAGGAATTATTCTAATAGAAAATAAAGTAGAGGTGAGAAAATGCCTGAAATAAATGATATTTGCAGATGACTGCCTATTGAAATGTCAAACTGCATATGCAAGTTTAGTATCTGGAACTAATGCCCCCAAATAAACCTTTTGGTGAATGAAAGACAACGAGAACATTAAGGCAGGCTCAAACCAACAAAGGCTAATTCATAAAGGACTTTTATATTGTTTGTTGTGCTAAATATGTATATAACCCCACTGCATAATGTCAAGAAGATACATTGGCTAAGGTTCTGTATTGCCACGAGTAGAGATTGTGACATAGAGTTCATGCTTCAGGGAAGAAGGAAGTCAGAATGTTTTTGTGATGAGGAAAAAATCATCATCATCATCATCATCATCATCATCATCATCATCATCATCATCATCATCATCATCATCATGAAGGAGTGCCTATTCATCCATCCATCCATCCATCCATCCATCCATCCATCCATCCATCCATCCATCCATTCATTTTCTACAGCCATCCAATTCAACCAAGTGACACTGGNCTCTTCTATAGAAGAGATTCCACAAATCTACAGTGCCGTTTAGAACCGGTTCCAGCTCCCTCCCCCCGTCCGTCCGCACATCATCAAGATGAAGAGTGAGAAAAGGAATTCTGGGAGTTGAAGTCCACAAGTCTTAAAGATGTCAAGATTGAACACCCCTGGGTTTTTTTTCTAAAGGGTTAGGGGCAAGGGTCTTGTAACATGACAGCTTTAAAACTTGCGTGCTTCAAATGCCAGAGTTTCTGAGCCAACGTTTTTGTTGCTAACAAGAGCGTTGTTAAGTGAGTTTCACCATATTTTAAAAGTTGGTCATGCCCACCCAGTCACATGGCTGGCAAACCACTCCCACCTGGTCACATGGCCAGCAAGCCACTCCCACCCAGTCACATGGTCGGCAAGCCACTCCCACTCTCATGGAAATGAAGAACAACCCTGCAGCACAGGGCCAAGGTCTCACTCATGGACAGATAAACTTCGAATTAGATTATTTGTGGGTTACGTGGGTTTCCAAGAGATTCATCAGAACCAGAATGTCCTGCCTTTCATTGTTAGTGGTGACCACTTTTCATGGATTTCTGCTTTCTCTTAGTTTCAAAATGGGATGACCTTGGAAGCGTTCTCAGTCATAGTGGCACAGTTGCTGGGGTTTAGTGTCGGACTGTACTTTGATGACACCAGAAAATGTCATTGTTCGGGGACAATCTGCCTGATGAACACGAGAGCAGCGTAAGCCTTTACATCCTTTTCACAACCATCATTGGACAACACTGTCAAACTGTTTAGTAAAGCTGTGTTACTATTCTTCTTCTTCTCATCCTTTCTATTACCTATTTCCTTTTCTGTTTACGACTATAACTTTGTTGCTTGTATCTTTACGATTTATATTGTTTTATTTAGTTTCCCAGTATAATTTATGTTGATTGCTTATTTAGTATCCTATGACTTATTGCTAAGTGTCCTATCATGATTTACGATGAATTTATTTTTATGATTACTATGATTATGATTTATAACTTTTATGTAAACTGAGAGTTTATGCACCAGAAACAAATTCTTTGTGGGTCCCATCACACTTGNTTAAGAGGAGATTGGATAACCATTTGTCTGAAATGGTACATAGGGTTTCCTGCCTAAGCAGGAGCATGGACTAGAAGATCTCCAAGGTCCCTTCCTTATCCTATCCTATCCTATCCTATCCTATCCTATCCTATCCTATCCTATCCTATCCTATCCTATCCTATCCTATCCTATCCTATATTCTATTCTGTTCTATTCTATATTTTGAGGTCTTTTAATGGGACATTTATCACTGCTGTAATTTGGCCCATCCATTTGTTGCTGGCCAGCCATGGATTGATTACCATTGGCAATTTTGCTTGATTAGCAATGGAAATTTGGGGGTCAGTTGTGGTTGTAAATCTAAAACTACCTGAATACATGAGTGTGAGAGTCTTTCTCCTGCCTAGGGTCTCAGCGGTCATTTCTGCAGGTGATTATTCCTCAGAGGAATCCAGATCACGTCACTGGAAATAAGGTATTTCTAAGGATTATTTTTAACTGGTCTGTTGTCCATGTTGCTAACTCACCTTTTAATCTGTCCAACCTTGATTTTTTTTAGCCCCAAAGTGAAAAAATACTGGAAGAAAACACACACCTGGCTGAAAAATATGATAATCTTAGTTGCTCTTCTCTGAACTGCTTCCAAAGGATCCTCTGCATTCCAGTTGTAATACCTGAATCTGGCAGTTGGTTAAAGGCCAAAAGGAGAAAGTCAAATGGGGTGGGTGGGTGGGTGGTAGGCATGGCAACCCATCCACTTATCTATAGTGACCGACACACTCATAAATCAGGGCTGCAATGGATTATAGGCTATTGATTGGTAGTGTTATTCATATTTGTTTGGGAATTGTAGTGAGCTCTCCAAGGTGCTGATGCTATTTGCTCTCTGTAGATAGACAATCCCTAGTTGGCTCTCGCCTGGCCAAGATAAATACTGGTAATTATATCAAGCTTTCGCCCTAGATTTGGGTGATATAATACTGAAAATATGATCAGCCTGTTCAGTGATCTATTTTCCCCCAAACATTCTTAATTCAACAACCACACTCAGCTCAACAACCAAATAGAGAGACCACCAAGGATCCCTGCCCCCCCCCCCAGTTTCTTAATTCTTTATAAACAAGTAAAGCTTTCATGTATGGCCATGCCATTTTTTTTAAAAAAAATGTAAGGATGTTATTCTCTGCTTTTTAAGATGTTTTCCTCAAGTGAACGATGACTGGAATAGATCAGAGTGGAAAAAAGGATCCATAGTGTAATTTTCTTTTAAAAATCCTCCGAATATTTATTTATTTAATTTGCTAAACATGTATGAAATAACAGGGATAAGTATAAACATGGACATGATGAGCACAGGAAATGGATACGAATAAATGGGGACAGTAGGACAGGGATGGTAGGCATGCTGGTGCTCTTATGCATGCCCCCTTTATGGACCTTTTAGGAATGGGGTGAGACAGTTTGAGACTGAAGCTGTGGGGGTTTGAGGATGTAACAACGGAGTCAGGTAGAGCATTCCAGGCACTGACCACTCTGTGGCTGAAGTCGTATTTTCTTCAATTGAGTTTGGAGCGGTTTACCTTGAGTTTGTATCGATTGTTTGCCTATGTATTATTGTGATTGAAGATGAAATAGTCATTGACAGGTAGTCATGCCAATATGTCATATTACCAGCCTCAC